TAATTATTAATTATTTTTATTAATTAAATTAAATAAAATTAATATTTTTAAAAATAATATTTGGTCGTTACCATTCCCAAGGGAAGCTGCTATCTATGTCAGCTCATCTTCTTGAGATTTCAGATTGATCTTGATGATTTTCTTTGAATGTTAGGATAGATTTCACCCATCTGTGGTTTGACTGGCTTTCTTGGCGACAAATCCGCCGTTTAACCCCAATCTTGGTATCTTGAAAACTAAATAAGATTTTTCTCTTTGAGTTCATGTTTGCTTTCTTATATTTTTCTTCTAATTCTCTTCTTTCCTAGATCCCTCACTGTCTGCATCGAGCAGCAGCAAAGAAGCTGAGGAATTAAAGTAAGGTTACCTTAATTAACGATTTCTCAAGATTTCTCCTCCTCTGATATCTGCATCGAGCAGCTGGAGAGAAGCTGAGGAATTAAAGTAAGGTTGCCTTAATTAAAGATTTCTCCTCCTCTGATTCTTTGTATGAGTTTATAAGCAGTTTTGTTTAATCTGTTGTCATTACTATCTAGTACATTGAGTTCTCTAATAGTCTCCGCTGGCTACTGAAGTTTCAGTTTGATCGAGGTATATGCATGCAGAAGCCTAAACTATGATCATATATAGTTTCGTAATTTATTTTTTAAAATAATATATTTCACTTCAGTAAATAAAGTTCATTTCGCTCAATTTTAAGGTATTTTTTTACCTAATTTTTCAGTTGATAAATATTTTTCTCTATATAAAAATTGTGCCCATCGATATCTTTTATTCTCTGTTTGTTAGATCATCCCCGTTATGGCAATGACAAATGCTAGTACTGCAACTTTGATTGTCCCTCAGCTTCTAAAAAGGGGCAATTATAAGAGTTGGAACATTTTCATGGAAGACTATTTGATTTCTCAAGAGCTTTGGGATGGTATTATTGTTCCATTCAGCGCCGATCAACAGCTGCTTAGCGAATCTGAGTGGAGAAAAAGGAATGCTGCCGCTCTGAATGCCATTAAGATTTCATGTGGACTAGAAAGTTTTGTTCGTATAAAGTATACCCGTTCAGCAAAAGATGCTTTGGGCATGTTAGCCGAAATGCATAAAACGGAACCTGAAATTGATGAAAGCACTCTAAAGGCAAGCAATCCTCCGCTTTGGGTGGCAACTACGATCGTCCCCGAACTTCTAGAAAGAGGCAATTATGAGAGGTGGAGCATTTTCATGAAGAACTACTTAGTTTCGCAAGAACTTTGGGTGGTTACTCAACGCAGGTTAAGGCCTCATGGAGTTTCCAAAGGGGAGTGGAGAAAGAAGAATGCTGCCGCTCTGCATGCAATTCAGATTTCATGCGGAGCAGAAAATTTTAATCACATAAAGAAGATCTGTCAGGCAGAAGAAGCCTGGTATAAGTTGGAAAGAATAGCTATTGAAGAAGAAATATCAAAAGTAAATAATTCAGGTTTGCCACATATCTATCGATATGACATCATACGTTTTACGTTGCATTTGATTTAAATGAATTTGGCAAAAGACGTAAAATTTCATTTGCATGCAAGTCTATACTCTTTTGCCAGGTACCATTATAATGTGTAGAATTCAATTTCAGACTTTCAAATCTTGAAATGATATAGTTAAGGCTAATTTAATTCTAATTAATCTCACTTCAGAACATAAAGAAGAAGAGAAAGAAGAAGAAAAATCTCTGAAGGCAAGACTAGCATTTTTTTCTCCTTTTGTGCTTTTCCTCTTCTTTTGGGATGTTTGGCGTTTAAACTAACCACTTGTCATTCTGATATTAATTTGTTGATGTATATGGTTTTATAGATTACTACTGAACTTCTAGAAAGAGGCAACTATAAGTGGTGGAGTATGTTCATGGAAAACTACTTAGTTTCTCAAGATCTTTGGGTAGTTATTCAACACTCGGTCAAGCCTAATGGAATTTCTAAAAGGGAGTGGAAAAAAAAGAATGTTGCCGCTCTACATGCAATTGAGATTTCATGTGGAGAAGAAAATCTTAATCAGATAAAGAAGATCCGTTCGGCAATAGAAGCTTGGAATAAGTTGAAAAGAATAAATATTGAAGAAGAGAAATCAGAAACAGACAATTCAGGTTTGTCACATCTCTCTCTATGATATCATGCATTTTAGATTGTATTTGGTTTAAATGAATTTGGCGAAAGACATGGAATTTCGTTTGCGTGCAATTCTCTACTCTTTTGCTTGGTACTATTATGATTTGTAGAATTCAATTTCAAACTTTTAAATCATGGAATTTGTTAAGTCTAATTTAACTCTAATTAATCTTACTTCAGAACATGAAGAAGAGGAAGAGGAAGAAGAAGAAGAAGATGAAGAAGAAGAAGAAGAAGAAGAAGAAACTCCAAAGGCAAGATTAGCATTTTTTTTTCCTGTTGTGCTCCCCCCTTCTTTGGGGATGTTTGGCTTTCAAACTGGTCGCATGTCATTCTGATATTAATTTATTGATGTATGTGGTTAGATTAATTCTACAAGTATGATTGTCCCTGAACTTCTAGCAAGTGACAATTATAAGAGATGGAGCATCTGTATGAAAAGCTATTTAGTTTCCCACGACCTTTGGGATGCTGTTGTATACAGTTGGGCGCCAGCTGGAGTTGATACAAAGGAGTGGATTAAAAAGGATGCCACCGCTCTGCATGCAATTCAGATTTCATGTAGACCAAAAAAATTTGATGAAATTGAGAAGATCACTTCCGCTAAAACTGCTTGGAATACCTTGAAGCAAAAACATAAAGAAAAGCATCCAGAAGATATTCCTTTCCCTGATTTTCTTCATTCAATGGCAGTTCTAGGTTTGCCACCTCTTATTCTCTATCATCATTTTTTTTTTTTTTTGCAGTGTGTTTTGGATTCTACTACGATAGTTTTTTCTGTTATAGACTTAGTGCCCTTAAGGTGCAATTAATACTTTTTTTTTTAATTTTAATTTTTCGTATTAAAAGTAACTTCAAGGCCATCTTTGGTTAAGGTGGGAAACTTTTCCTCTTATTCTCTCCTTGTATTTTTTAGGGCTAATTTAGTATGTTTGGTTAGGGTGGAAACTTGTGTCTGTCTTTTCTCTTGACATAGAGTCATTATACATGCCCTTTATTTCTTAACTTTAATTGTCTATTTTACTCTTTTTTATTAGATTTAATTGTCATAATTTGATTTTATATATAGTTTAACATGATTTTATATAGTAAATAAATGATGATTAAAATTTTTTTTATTTAAGTATAACTACTCAATAAGTATTATGTATAAAAAGAAAAAAAATTTTAATTGTCATTTATTTACTATATAAGATTATCTAGTCAAACTTTATATGTAAAAATCAAATTGAAACAACTAAATCTAATCAGTTGGAGTATTTCAAAAATTCTCTAAAATTTTAAATCTAGAAAAAAAGTAGGAAAACGGACAATTTCTTGAAGAGGGGTGAGTATTATTAGTCAATTACTCCATCTTAGACCAAATTCTTAATTTGAGGTGTTCTAATTTTGTTGTTCATTTTTTTATGATGTTATTTAATGTTTTTATTTTTATTTTACATTTATTTTAAGAAGATATAATAATAAAATATATTAAATAAAAAATCTTATTTAAATAGTGATTAATTATTTAGTTAAAAATAACAATTAATTAAAAATAAATATAAAATTTTATCAATTAAGTATTATATTTTTATTAGAAAATGCTGTGTGCACCCTCCGGTTCGACACCTAGGGTGCACACCTTAATAACCGAGTAATTTTAATAATAAAATTACAAATTTAACCTTAAAAGTCATTTTCCTCTTCATACTCCTTTTTCTTCTTGTCTCTGCATCTTCCTCTACCGAACTCTTCTCCTTCCCTGAAACCAGATCTGCTTCACCCTTTTATTTATTTATTTTTTTGGGTTGCTTGGCGATGACGATGATGATGGTGTTAGAAGGAAAATGTCCAGATCTGGTTTTTTTTTTTTTTTGGTAAAAATCCAAATCTGGTGTTGATTGAGGGATAAAGAGAGAAAGAAAATGAAAGGAAGAAATTGTAGGTTTCATTGGGGGAGTTTCACTAGATCTTTGAAAGGATGGGTCTTGGTGGATGCATTGTTCTGGTATGACGAACGATCATCACTTCATTCAATTTCCACTGCAATTTCCTTTTTCTATTATTGTTTCTTATTCCTTGTCCAATTTTTGACTTTTCTATGAATTTGATTTGGTGCTTCGAGCGGCCAGAGAGAGAGAGAGAAAAA